TTTGCGGCGGTGGATCCGGTAAGGGGGTGTTAGGGTTTTGGTGGAGTAGAGAGAGAGGAGGAAGAGGATGTGAGAATGAGCGGGAAAAGTTGTTCCGCCGATGGCTGTTGTGGGGGTCGGACAGGACTTAGTGCAACGGATGTTATGAAAGAACACGCGTATATGCAGGTGGTCCCCTCTTTTCGATTTTCAACGGCAAAAAATGTTTTTATTTAGTTTTTTTATTATTATTATTATAATAACGCGTCGGTTCATTCGTTATAGACACATAAGCCAATGATCTAAAAAATATTTACAAATCTTTATCTAATTCAAATAATCCGGACATTGTAGAGCTTTAAATCAAATTTGAACTCGATAACTGTATAGGCTCCATTTTTTAATGTAGGATATAGGATATGTTCATTTCCAAATTCTTGGGGCAAATTTGTTATACTTTCTGTACATTATCATATGCCTTATATCCTTATTCTATATTCCAGCAAACTCCTATTTTGTAGCTGCCGCACAGCTCCTTATTTTTGTGGGAGCCATAAATGTCTTAATAATATTTGCTGTTATGTTCATCAACGGTTCAGAATATTCTAACGGTTCCTATCTTTGGACTGTTGGAGATGGAGTCACTTCACCGGTTTGAACAAGTATTCTTTTTTTACTAATTACTACTATCCCAGATATGTCATGGTACAGAATTATTTGGACTACAAAATCAAACCAGATTATAGAACATGACCTTATGAGTAACGTTCAACAAATTGGAATTCATTTATCAGCATATTTTTATCTTCCGTTTGAACTTATTTCTATAATTCTTTTAGTTTCGTTGATAGGTGCAATTACTATGGCTCGTCAATAGCAAATACTTAGAATTAATAAGAATTAATAAAATTGTTAGAAATTTTAAATCAAATGAAAAAGGGGAAAGTTTTTAGTTTAATCTACTACGGATACCCTCTTTTTTCCGTAATTGCTCGATTCTAGTCAATCAAATCCGTTGAATTATTGTTCATATTGAAATGAATCGAGATTGATGAGGAGTTAGTCAATGATGTTCGAACATGTACTTTTTTAACGTCTATTTATTTTCTATAGGTATCTATGGATTGATCACAAGTCCAAACATGGTTAGAGCACTTATGTGTCTTGAACTTATACTAAATTTAGTTAATATTAATCTTGTAAAGTTTTCTAATATATTTGATAGTCGTCAATTACACGGAGACATTTTCTTAATCTTTATTATAGATATTGCAGCCGCGGAAGCAGCTATTGGATTAGCTATTGTTTAGTCGATCTATCGTAACAGAAAATCAACTCGTATCAATCAATCAAATTTGTTGTATAATTAGTCATAACTATTATATAAATAGAATTTTTTCATTTTTTATTCTTTTATAGTAATATGTATAATATTATATTTCTATATTACTATTGCAATATTGACGATGCATTGACCGATGTCAATGTGAAGTCATATGCGTGACTCGTATGATCATGGTTGTTGAAACGGAAATCAAAGTCTCTTGGTCTTTTTTTATGAACAGATTTAGAAATATATATTGATTCTTAAGATTTTTTTGATAAACCATTGATTCGTTCTTTTTTTATGAACAGATTTAGAAATATATATTGATTCTTAAGATTTTTTTGATAAACCATTGATTCGTTTGGTGTCTACAATATAAATATAATTCATTTACTCCTGATTTTACTTTACCAGATCGAATTTTTTTATCAATGCAGTCAATTATGTCTCTCCTAGAAGTTTGTTAGCTACTTCTCATTTTGTTCTAGGATTATTCCTATTTGTAGGTCATTTATGGCATGCGGGAAGGGCCCGTGCAGCTGCAGCGGGATTTGAAAAAGGAATCGATCGTGATTTGGAACCTGTTCTTTCCATGACTCCTCTTAGCTGAGGATTTTTTATTTATATCTATTCATTCTGTTGTTTTTTCTGTTCTGGCTTGACTAGGTGGGATAGTCGAAACATTCTCTTTTATGAAAGATAACAAAACAGGTCAAGTCAAACAAATAAACAAAGACAAAAATACCCTTGGAATTCAAATATTAATCCATTAAGTAAGAGTAAGTCGATAAATTGATGAATTCTTATTGGATATATATAGTATGAAGATAAGGATACAGTTTAAATTGAAATATATATCTAAATAAAATTATTAAATGCTATATTTATACATGTCTACAAAATGAAGGGCGTATATGTAAAAATCAAATAAATTAATGAGATAAATAATGTTTACCCCAAAGGTCAAACCCAGGTATAGCGCAGATCTACAAATGTACATAATATGGATGTGATATTTACAAAATCTACTAAACAAATTAAAGAGACAAAAATCATTCTCAAAATTATAAAAAACAAAAATTAAGGAAAACAAAAATCATACTCCCTTTAAAAGCACGAGTTCGGCAAAGGCTTTCCATAGTCAAAATTAACATGTACTATTTTAAATATTTAATTTAATTATAATATATTTAATCATAGTTATATCATATCCTCATACCCCATGAACTATATATATCTCAATAATTTAAATAAGATTAATAAAATATATGAAACAGCTCTGTGGTATCAGTTAATTACATGAGTATTACAAAAAAGTAAAAAGTATTAAAAATTAGACAAAATACTCTCAAAAGTTTAAAATAATACAAAATAAAAAGCTAAAATTTTAAAACTTGGCAAAGAAAAGAGTAATTATTTAATATTCTTTTATTAAGATATATAAATGTAACTTATAATTTAAGGTTTAGTACTCTTTTTCAGAATCTAAAAAAAGTCAAGTTGATGCTGGTAAAAAAAAGCAATAATACAGATTAAAAATATCCAGTCAATGAATAAATTTTTTTAAAATATATGTAGATCTCTTCTCTAGCTTTCCAACACACTTTAAATCACGTCGTTCCGAAATAGGATCAGAAAGTTACGACAAAAACAGTCAAAGGGGGAAAAACGACGTCTCGACCAAGGCCAAGACACATTTGTGTCTTGGCCAGGGCCGAGATAGTCTCGGTCTGGCTAGGATAGTCTTGAGGATAGTCTTGGCCTGACCAGGACTGTCTCGACCTTGCCAGGACTATCCCATCCCTGAAAATGCTGTTTCACATTGTTTCTTCGATGTTAACTGCCCCGATTCTGATCCAAAGCCTCTCCAACTAATTTGGAGTCATATTTGACGTGGTTAAGTGGTTACAACTGAGGATAAGATCAAATTGTTCATTCTTATAAAAAAACAGAGCTTCTAAAGCCTATAAATACAGTCCTAGGACCTTCATTTGCACAGATCCGGAATTCTCAAGCCTCGGCGAAGCCCCATCGAATTGAAGAGTGAGAAGCCACGAATTTTAGAGAGGAGGAAGTGATCTTGGTGAGTTCTTCAGCATAAAGAGGGGAAGAGTTCGAGAGATCTGCATCCGTTCATCCATTTCCTTGAGATTGTACCAAGCTGTAATTCTCGAGAAGAGTGATTATCTCATTTTACCGAGATAGTTACTTCAGTTTCTTGTCTCCTTTAAGAGGCAATGAAATATTTATATTGGACCTGATCAGTCGGTGGTGCACAGATAAACCCCGGCATAGGCTAAGATCCCATGCAAACAACGGGTGATAAACGTCCGTTGTGTGTGTTTTTAAAAGTTGTAATTTTTATTTTCATTTGTTGAAATCATTGTAACGACTAAAGTTGTGATGGGTCCGTTAATGAAAGAACCAACTTTCCACCAAAACACGCTGGCGACCACAATGGGAGCCAACAACCTCGTCACAAAGGCTGTCGTGCTGCAACCGAAGATCAAGATCCCGGTTGATTCAGATGTCAAGTACGAGTTCGACGAAGCCAATTTCGAGGAATATTTCTCCTCGTCTTCATCAAACCCTCCTCTCCCTGCAAGTGCGGAAAGATCCCACATTTGAAGGAGGCACATTCATCGATGAATTTTATGTGCGGCAGAAGCTTGAAACCACACGAACAAGACCGAGATAAATCACAACTAATAAGCCAAACACAATACCACAACAAGACAAATGAATTTTATGTGGTTTGACAAGTTGCCTACGTCCACGGGGCAATGAGGGGGGACTTCTTACTATTAGAAATCAAAAGAATACAAATAGAGTTACAAATCTCTCAAATAAACCCTAAAACAAATCCTCTAAATCTCTCATAAATATCCTACAATTGGATGTAATAATCCCTTCTCAAAGACTGCTCAAAACATCATTGCTTAACCCTAAATAATTAGGATTAGACTTATATATCAACTCAAAAACGAATCGGGTCAAAACCTGTAACCCAACTTAGAACCGCTAAGAGGTCGACCGCGACGGTCGACCGCACCCTCACGACAGAAAACAAAAACACCTACAGGGTCCTCACGGCCGACCGTTGCGGTCGACTGAATCTTATCCCGAGACCAAAATCCATTACAGGGTCCGTGCGGTCGGCCACGACGGTCGACCGCCTCACATCCAAAAATTCTCCTGAACCTCGTGCACGTTTCCGATCGACCGCAGCGGACTCACGGTTGACCGGCTAACTCCCTAGTAGTTTTCCTGTCTGTTTCCTAAGTTGTTCTTTGCCATGTACGCCAATCCTTCAAATCTCCACCTCGGTGAAATTACTTTCAAAACTGAGCCGACAGCAAATCATCCAAATGTCCTACTTGTTGCGTCTAGGATGAAGTGAAAACAACCCACTTCAACGAACTCAATCCACAATAAGTCGGAAACCCAAACTAGAGCTCAAACACTCTGCCCCCATCAAAATCAACAAATC